ATAGTCTAGTCCTCATCTACTCATGCCATTGTTGTTGTTGCTGATGCTGTTGGGGCATCTCCTCCTACAGGCTTATGAGGCGGCTGTTGAAACTCTAATGCCACCTCTCCATCTACTGGTGGAGTGCCTCGATATCTGCCCCTCCTTACGACTACAGGGCACTTACTGCTTCTGCCCCTACTGTGGCTACTATGGCTGTTACGACTGCATCTCTTGTTGAGTGGGCGTATCTCCAAATTATATATTGTCCATGTTGAATGCCTCCAAAGCGGCATACCCCTATTAAAAAAGCCTGATAACACTCGTGACTCTGAGGGTGAGTTCATCGAGAGGTCGTGGCTCGGACCAATCTCTAAATCCTTGTCCACGATCTTATAGTGCTCGACTACTCGTGCAAGCATGGACCCAATCACTATGTAGCTGCAATGGCTCGCTGTACCTGATCTCTCACCATAGTCTTGTATGTGGTGAAGAAAGAAGGCTCCAGGATTGTAGCAAATCCCATGGGTCATGCAATACAGAGGGAATAGGTCCTTCTGTGTAATAGAGCCTGGGCTGAGCCTGGGCTCTGTTAGTGTCTGTGGATGGTCCCCGTTATGAGCTTATGGACCACCTGGAGTGTAGGATCCCTGATCCTCGAGGCCTTGGTGGTCTTTGGCATGACCTCCTCGCCTGTGAGCTCCCGCCACATGTCGTTAATGGAGATGTCAGAGGTGGGGAAGAGGAGGTTGTCGCTATACTCTACCATCGCAAGTTGTGCCTCTGGAATGAAATCGACTATCTAGTTGAACTCAGCCAACATGATGGTGTGGAGGACTCTTCCCATCCAGAATATAAACGTCGAAACTCTTGCCCCTCGAGTGCCATAGTTGTGTACTACTTGGCCAATGCCAAGAAGTCGACAGTCGCCTCCTGATAGGCTTGACCTATCAGCTCGAGTAGGAACTTCCATCGTAAGTAAATCTCAGACTCTCCCAAGGAGTCCTACCTGCTCCAAGATAGGAAAGTTGAGCTATCATGTGAACACGAAATTGAAGTTACACAGGTGTTGTCTCCCCCTATGTACCTCATCGCTCATCCTTGAGGTTGGACATTGTGTCTAGTGGTGATGGTGCCTGTTGTATTGGTGGTGCTGGTGGAGATGGCAAACGAAGAATCTTGCCTCGACCATGAGATGAGCCGCCTCTATACATGATTGGAGATAAAAGATGCCTAAAAATGCTCTAGAATGAATGTGGAGTTTTGGGAAATGGATAAGGATTATGAGGGGAGCTGCCTATTTTATAACCAAAATACGCGCGAAATGACCCATTTCGGGTCCATAACGGCCTGTTATTTGAGTGAAACAGGGAATTCTTGCTGAAGTTAAACTAGAACAACCCATTTTGCTTCCAGAATAGGGCGTTCCAATTTTAATGTAACTAGAATGGAGCGTTCTCGTTCTGGAACGACCCGTTTTGGCTAATGTGCTTTGGGACAGGCCATTTTTCACCTTTTTTTTGTCATCATGCAAAGATGTTGATTTGCTTATTTATGCATAATGCAGTTTTTATATATTTTGAACAATTCCCCTAGGATAAAGAAAAATATTCTAAGTGTGTGAAATGCTTTCAACTACATGCAATGCATGTTTTGATTTGGTTTTCAAAAGGTAGCTTTCCTTTTCTCCTTTCAAGAGAACTGTTTTGATATGTTGATGTACAACATTAGTTATATCAGTCAGTTAATGCATTAAGCTATTTTTAGGGGCTCTATTTTTTTTTTCTTTTTGTTTTGGAAACCCTAACTTTTGCCTAGAACATGTTATAAGGGGAATTTTTTGTTCTTTTTCTTTTGCCTTAACTTTTTGCCTAGGACGCCCTTTATGGGTTTTCATCCTAGCGGGTCATTCCTTTTCTTTCCTTTTTTAGGCCTTTTTAATTTTTGACAAACACCAACAAGACACGTCATTTACAATTGGTCAAAAGAAGAGAAAAGAAAGGTTGTTTTATTGGTTTCATAACTTTATACAGAAAGGGATTCAAGAATTGTTTAGAAAGAATACGTGGCCAAGGAAGGCTAGTGCTTAAGTTTTATACAAACACTTCTTTGCATAACAAGCATAATCATTCCCCTAATTATCTTAGATTAGGTATCTAAGTCTCTGGTGGACCTTCATAGAACCTTGACCTCTTGAGGACATATCCGAGCCACTTTTGGTTTTTGACTTTGATAGTAATCACTTGCTACTTTTATCCTCAATCCCTAATTTTTGCCTAGGACGCATCCTAATAGGAACTCTTTTTTCTTTTACCCTAACTTTTTGCCTATGACGCCTTTTACTAGTTTTCATCCTAGTAGGCTTTTGCAACTGATTTTTTTAAGGTATAATACCGTTTCATTGCGTCAGAACTCTTAGCCATCCATGTCTGTAAGGATTAGCCCTTATCTAAAGGAAAACCTATTTGACTATATGTGGTCCTTCATAGTTGGGTGTCTATTTATTAATTTTTTTTAGCATCTAAGAACTTCTTGAGCACATGATACCCTCTAGAAAGCTTCAAGGATGAGTTTCTAATCTTTTGATAAGTCCACGCATAACATGTAACATCCAATTCTTCTTCTTTGATGGGTTTTAGTTGATCAGACATTCTTTGAACTTATTCCGATTTGGAAAACTTGGTGACATTGCCCCATCCCATATACTAAGGAGAAAGGTGTTGCCCTAATTAAAGCATGAATAGAATCCTTAACACCTATGTAGAGCATTTCATGCCCAACTTTGTAGGTCTTGGATAATTAACTTGATTTTCGCTGGTTGCCTCAACTGTCTCATTCATTTTAGATCTGAAGGGAAAGAAGTCATTATTTTTCCTTCTTTTCCTCATGATAAGGCTAGATAATTCAGAGTTCTCCACCCAACAATTTTTGTGTCTAATAATTCTCTTCATTCAGACTCAGTTACTGCATCATGGATGTTTAGAGTTTTATTAATTTCATTCTCCTCAGTCATGTTTGTTTGTTTGTTTTTTTAGGTGTTGTAATTGGTTTTGGAATTGAATGCACAGGAGAGGGAAAAAGGAATAAACAAGGATTTAAAGAAATGACGTGTAACATTCATGACTGTAAAACTCATACAAGCCCATATTTTGTGTGAACTCATGCCCGTGGGCGAAGATCATGAGTTGAAATTAATACAAAGAAATAACTTTTGTTTTCCTAGAGAAACCCCTTAACAACTTTCCAATGAACTGTTCCAAGATTGCTACTCATCTTGATCATTCCACAATGTTAGGTACAATGACCCCAAACTTGAGCCACCTGGCATTAATAAGCTCCTGTACGCGATGCTTCAAGGCCTTGTAATTTTCAATGGAGTGCCCTGCTGCCCCAGAATGATAATTGCAAGTTTCTTCGGGCCTATACCATCGTGGATAAGGCGATTTCAACTTCTTCAATGATATAGTCCACTCCAACATTGAAACCTTTAGCAGCTAAGGGAATAACTCTACATAGCTTGTAGGAATCTTGTCAAAATTCCTTTCCACCCTTGGTGTTGCTCTTGTCCTTTGAGGAATAGCAGGAGCAGTTGTAGCATTGATTCCCTCCCCTTTCTTCATTCCATAGACCTTGTTTGACTAACCTATGTCCAAAGGTGGAGGTCTCATGGTTTCGCGTATGAATGGGATGTCCTATGCTAAACACATCTCGGCGACTTCCTTTCTATCAAGGAAGTGCTCCTCAACAGTCCTTAGTCTCTCGTCTAGAGCATTCAGATAACAACTAACGTGATGATTATCACATTGCATTTCTATATTTTTAAAATTAAGAAATTAAATATTTATATTTTAAATTTGTACATCAATCAAAATAGAAAAATCAAGGTATAATTTAGAAAAAAACAATTATATTAATAAATAATAGTCCACTTTAACAATTATATTAATAAATAATAGTCCACTTTAACAATTATATTAATAAATAATACTTATTAATGCAATAGGGACTGATTCTAATATAACTATACATTAATTTCTCGTACCCTACCAAAAGGAACATACCATTATTGTAACAAGTCATGTGAAACGCGTGCTTACTTCCCAAGACAGAAGATTTGAGCTGCTACACAAATTTCATTTTTCAAACTTTATGCAAGAAGTAAAAGTGTGCGTTAGTATTTATTTAACTCGATTAACTCGTGCCAGCAATATTGTATCAAATAAATATATTAACTCATGCCAGCAATTTTCCAGTTAGGCGAAACCTAAAATCATTCAAGAAAACTAACGTCAATCTCACAATTAATGGGTCAACAATGGTTTTGGATAATTTGGAAAATTATTTTTTTTTATCATAATATTAAAAATAATGATAAAAATATACTTTATCTGCAGTTGTTAATTTTAGCCATAGTATAAAATTTAAATTTAATAAAAAAACGCATTTGAAAATAAATACCTTAATCGATTGTTCCATTTTCCAACTACCCTTCTTTCCATTTCCAAGTATATAAAGACTAATTTTTTAAAAAAACAAATTAGTGCTTTTATATATAGAGAGATGATCCAGATGATCAAATTACTCTAAGAATAATTTTTGAAAAAATTATTCAACTCGATAACGATTCAACTGTTAAATTAAAAATTCTTAATATATAAATCAAATTTATTAATACTTAAAAAATTTAAATATCATATAATACTTTGTTAAACATGAATAGAGGTTCTTTTCATTGTTAATTGTTTTATAATGTTGTCTTTTCTTTCTAAATGTTTTTCAATATTTTCAAAATTCGACTAATCATCAAAACAAGTAATAAGATAATTCAAAATTTAATGGATCAATCATAATTCTTAACCTGTTCGTATTGATCTCGAAACACACCAACTTTTCAACAAGCCAATTCTCGGCCAGACTAGACAAACCTACCGGTGCAGTTTGCTTTTTGACAATTATGATATTTTTGGATGTTCTCCATACGTCGATGGTCCTTTATTAATTTACGACGTAACGCAATGTTTCTTGACAAGACACTGTACCATTGCAAGATTCTTCATCTTTCTTACTTCAGCCTTCAATTCGCTATAACGATGAACTCAGCAAGATATACAAGATTATCTCAAGCTTTATTATAGCATGGAATGTGGGCTATACACCCAACACAGTATGTAATAATTCTTTATCTGTGTTGATGCATCAACAGGTATCAATAAATGTAATAATGGTTAGTGCTTTGTTATCATAGGTGGCAAAAACATAATCGCATCACCTATATCTTAGAAGATTAAAAAGAGGCTATGCTTCTTAATGGGTAACCGTAAATTAAGCTTCATATTAATTGCTACTTGGTTGCTATTAGTCATAGATGATAAACTAATTGTATTTTATATTCCCCTCTATGCTTCTGCAGATCAATGTAAGCTATATTTCAATTCCTCTGATTTTATTCATAAGAGTAGTTCGAAATTTAAGTGATAGAACCTCTCACTTTTTTTTTTAACACATCTTTTATGGTTACTTGTAAACATCGTGGGTATTTAATGTCACTATCATGTTGACGCGTATTTTCGTGGTTTCGTTTTCATAATTAAATGGTCAAAAAATTTATTCGTCATTTATATATTCTTTTAAGCAATGCATATGTTGTAATCACAAGAACTGCTTTCTTGGCTCTTCTTCTAGTCGTACGTGAATAACACAAATATCCTTTTTCTTCTTTTTTTCTTTGAATTTGGATGTGAGCATTGTACTTCAGTTTTCTATTTTTGCTGATACATATTTTGTTACATAAATATTTTGTCTTGTTTGTAGGATTAGCATAGGTTGTTTGAAGATTTGGTCTAATGGGGTTTATAGAGCTGCTTTCTGTTGCGTCTTTTCCGGTCATCAAAGTATTATTGATTACTGCAATTGGCTTGTTTCTTGCACTGGATAACGTATCAATATTGGAAGAAGATGCAAGGAAGAAAGTGAATCAGGTTACAAATACAACACTTGAAAAACCAATATTTTTTTTGTGCCCATTATGCAGTTTACTGAAAATGGTGCTCTTTCTGTTGTGACAGCTTGTGTTTTATGTGTTTAATCCGTCACTGGTGGGTAGCAATCTGGCCAAAACGATTACTTTTGACAGTGTTGTTAAGTTGTGAGTATTGACTTAGAGCATCTTGTGACCTGTGTTTCTAGTTTAAGGATGGGTTTGTTTGTGTTTAATTCACATTTTTTGTGTAATTTAGGTGGTTCATGCCGGTGAATATTCTTGCCACATTCATATTAGGATCAGCATTGGGATGGATTTTGATTAAAATGACAAGGCCTCCCAAACAAATGGAAGGTCTAATCTTGGGTTGTTGTTCTGCTGGTATGGACTCTACTGCACAAATAAATCAATGCAGGAAACTACACATGTAATGTGCATGACATAAAACAAACACAGACTTTGAATTCATTTCTTCAGTAGTAGATTTGATAAATCTTGAAGCTTCTGGAGTCTCTCTTCATTTGCGGATGGTACAATATCAGAGAGAAAAACATATATCTAATTGGGATCCGTTGTCTTTCTCTTTGGTTCCTTGTACATCCTGCAATTGGAGAGGATCCACATTGAAGACTAAGTCATCAAGATTAAAATGTTGCTTCATTGTCTATCTATCTTACTCTTGGATTTCATTTGTATATATGAATACAGTTAATCTGAGATTGAAGAATCAAACTTGTCACCTGCAATTTTTATGGATTCAGCATTCTGCAGATTGTAAATTATGAAAAAGGAAATAGGAAAAAGCAATTATCCTATGAAACGATGTTGATGTTGGGTAGGAGTTCCTAATAAATGAGATTTATGCCACCCAAAATTGTGATTGATGATAGTCATGTGCTTATTGTACCCACAAAAGTTCTACTTAAAACTAAGAAACATCTTGCTTCAAATTTGTTCATCATTAATGCATCTTATGGTTGAGCTCATCTTATGAACAGGAAATTTAGGGAACTTGCTTATAATCATTATTCCGGCAATATGTGAAGAGAGTGGAAGTCCTTTTGGTGACTCTGATGTATGCTATAAATATGGAATGGCTTATGCTTCACTTTCTATGGCGGTATGCTACATGTTTAATTTTTAAGTTGCAAGTGTGCTCATATAGTGTGCATTTAACTTGTCCACAAAGATAATAACTTAATTGGCTATAATTGATGTTAGGTTTATTTTTATGTTCATTTGGGGACTTCATAGATTGGAGCAGTTTTTATATGGTCATATGTTTACAACATAATGAGGATTTCCTCAAGTAGAACTGAACCAGAAGACAATACTAGCGATGCCAGCAGCTTATTGAAGGCTTCAGAGGAAATATCAGATTCAGAGTCACACCAAGCCAATTTTTCAGAAACACTTGATCCTACAGAAGACGTCATGGATGATGTTTATACCTTATTGCTTCCTGACGCAGAATCAAATGAAAAAGTGAGGCCAGCTATAATCATCCCTTTCAAAAGATAATATATATATTTTGTTTATAATGAATCAAGATTTTCCCTTTTCAGGTGTTGATTAACTAATTGCATTTTAAAAATAAAAGAAAGGAGCAGTTTGATATAATTCTTAATGAGATTCCATCTGTATTAAAATAATAATGTTTGACTAGCAGAAATTATCTCTGATAAATATAATTTAATCTTTAATTATTTACTTTAAAATACTATATAAAAATACTGTATAAACTATGTCTTTGAATAATAATAAAAAAATACTCACTAGATACGTTAGAAACATTATATTCTTTATTATTAGTAAAGTTTCATGTGAGCCCTGACAAAGAATCAAGTCACACTCTCAATTCGGTGATCTAGCATAAAATATACTTAATAATAGTGTATTGAAACGATATGTCTGAGAAAAAAAAATGTACATTGTCAGCATTCTTTTAATGGGTTTATTATGGATGATTTCATTTGACATTGAGTTCAAATTGAATCTTGACAAATAGTAACATAATAATATGTAACTCAGGAATACTAAATTAAACTATTTGTAATTAGAATTCCTCTATAGACAACATAATCCCACCAAGCATTTTTGCTTTTACTATCTCATGTATTTACTTTTACATATCTCATGATTATTGATCTGCTTCTTCATGCAAGAGAATTTACTTAATTTATTGTTAATCCATGATGCTCATATCACGGAGTGAAAAATGTTCATTTTCAAATCATATAATATTTTTTTTCTTTCTTTTCATATGACTTATTATGACAAAAATGTTGTGTTTTTTCCAGGCTTCAATTTCAAGTAAAATTAAGCAATGCTTGAGGAAGATTTCAAGCAACTTAAATTTAAAAGCCATCTTTGCGCCTTCAACACTTGGAGCTGTATGATACAGTAACATAGAATTTTATAACAATGTTTTTTTTTTTTTTTTTTTTTTTGTGCATACACGTATATAACAGAATTTTATAATGTGAGAGTATATTTGGAGATGATAGCATGCATTGCCACATTTACTTCACTAAAATTCACGATGTCTCATGCATTGCCACATTAGCAAACAGTACATTATTCTATATTTTGTCAATTTTCTTTTATATCTATTTTTGTTAAATGTGTTTTTTTTTTTTTTTCACAGATTGTTGGATTTATCATTGGTATAATATCCCCATTACGTAATTTCATTATAGGTAGTAGCGCTCCTCTTCATGTGGTTGAAGAATCTGCTTACATGTTGGGGTATGAATCTAAAAACTTAACTCTTCAATATTTTTTTCTTACAAATTAAAAGATAGGAAACAAAAAAATTTTTAGACTTATTTTAACTACAAATTTCTTGTTATTGTTTGACATGATAGCTACCCACTATTTTTTTTCCCCGCAAATTTGAAACCATCTGATCAAAAGTTTCACGGGCTAATGCTATAACAATCATTTTGTAAAAAAGAAAAAGAGAAAAGAAAAAAAAAGTTTCAACAGTCATATGCATCATATCGTTGCTAAAAATGATTAGTGGCTTGCTTATTATGTTTGTGCACGTCCCAAAAGTTGGAAGACCTTTAAGACGTCGATTTCTTTAATCTAGATTTTAATATATTCAATCAGCATTAAACATGTCATGATATTTGTAATTTATCATTAAATTAATTAAAATGTAATTATGTAATTTTTAAGTTTTCAATTTATTTTTTAAAATTGTTCTTTTTATAATTTAATTTATTTTTTGTTATTAAAATATTTTTGATCAATTAAGTTAAAATTTTAAGTAGTATTTTGTGCTACTTTGGATATTTTAGAAGAGTGTCGGTTATGGGTTACAATAAAATTCATTGAGCGTATGGCTGTACATGTGCAAGTACATTACAGCTAAATCTGATTTTTACACTAAAATAGTAAGAGATGTCTGAATTTAAAATAGGAGACAAATACAGGGAATAAGATATAAAGATAAGGTTATTAAAGAATGAAATAAATAAATAAATAAATGTAATTAGTATATTAACAAGTGCATTTTAAATGATATGTTTATTATATATAATTAAAATTTATAATAAATTATATACAAGTTTTGTATTTTTTTGACCTGTAAGCTAACTTGACCTACTCGTATAATAAGTTAGTATAATTACTTGTTCAAGATAATATTCTGTGTCACTTATGTTCAATAACAAATATCATGTTTTGAAGTCGTAATAATATAACTATTTATTTTAAATTTTATTTTATATTAATGTTAGTTGTTTGAGCTAATAAAAAAAGTAACAAATTAATAAATTTATTTTAAAATTTAGTTTCTATCATTATTTGTTTTCTCCACTGATAACATTAGATTTACGATGAGATATGAAATAATTTCCATCTATTATTATCATTCTTTGGTTATTCAATCAATCAAGATATCTAACTTTTAACTTTCTTTTTTAGTGAGGCAGCCATCCCTACTCTCACTCTCATAATGGGTGCAAATCTACTTAAAGGTAAACTTTTTATATGCAAGTGCTAGCGCATTTCATACATCATTTAACACACTTTTTTATTATTTATTATTAAATTTATTAGAAACTATAAACTCACGAGTAATAATTGTTAAAAGAAATATAACTTCAAATATTTTATTTTTTAATAAATTTCAACAATTGAACATAAAAATAGTGGATTTAAGAGTCTTAAAAAGTGAATTAGAGTCTAAATTAACCTTATAAAATTGGTTTATAAAGTAAAAGTTATTCCCCACTTGTATACTCTTTAATTGTCTTATCTCTAATTGATGTGGGACTTGAATTTTTCCTAATTCATCTTATCATGTCTAGCATTATTGAGTTTGATACGTGAATAAATAATAGATGACCCTTTTTAATGATCTATAATAGTTGAGACTTATATTATTAGGTTTGGTGTGTATGTCAATGGTAGATGACCCTTTTAGAGTAGATCTAGATAGCTCTGCTATCATGTTATTAGAATAATGGGTTATGGGCTAACTCTACCTTCAAGGTGAAGTTTGCAAGACTAAACATCTATGGATGCTTCGCTAACTACCTAATAGCGAGTGGCCTAATAAGCCTGACAACAAAGAAATCATTAGGATATAAACTATGATATGCTATGATACTATTTTAAGAAAGTAGGTTAAGAGTTTAACTCATCCTTATATAATCGACTTGTAAAGTGAGGGTTGTCTCCTACTTATATATTTTTTAATTATCTTATCTTTAATAGAGATGACAAAAATATTTATATCTATAAGTATCCACAGATAATAAATTGGTAGTCTAAATGGATACCCATGAGTAATGGATACGAGTATATTTTTTTTTATCTCATTTATAAACTGGACAGGAGTGAGTATGGTAGTATCCATACCATGGGTACCCGCTAAATAAAATTACTTAAATATTTATATTTTTATCTTACATTTTTATATTATTTTTAATATTTCAAAAAATAATCATTAATTACAAGTTCAAAAATGAATATCAATTATTTATCTTTAATATTTTAATATAATTAAATCAAATATAAGTTTAAAGTTGTTTATAATACTTTTTTTTAAAAAAATATCATAAATATCCATGAATATTTGCGAGTATTTATAAAATTTGCAAGTATTCGCTTAATTAATACCTGTTTAATGAATACCTGCATGGATACGGGGTAACTATAGAACAAATTTTTATCTAGCAGAACATATAGGAATACCCTACTAACCGTTTCGATGAGATTCTATTGTCATCCTTAATCTGATGTGTGGCTTTCATTTTTTCTAATACAGTATATATTAAATAATGTCTATAGCATTTCCCACTTTTATAATCTTCATTGTAATTTATAAAGTCTATAGCGAGAGTCGAACATTTTAATTTGTTTGATTTGTTTAAAGAAAATAATTATGGAAAAATGGAACAGGTTTGAAAGGAACAAGTCCTCCAGTGTGGACCATTGTGGGAATTATAGCGGTGAGATACATTTTCTTGCCTCTTCTGGGTGTTGCTGTTGTGAAAGGGGCGATACATTTGAGTTTAGTGCGTTCAGACGCCTTGTATCAGTTTGTGCTTCTACTTCAATATGCACTTCCACCAGCTATGAATATAGGTAACGTAACTATATACCCTTTAAGCAATATAAAATTGGCTTTTTAAAGGGTATACTATATATCCTTGAGTTTCAGTCATGGTTAGAGTCTAATAACTATAGTTGACTTGAAGAGGTTTTACACATAACAAAAATTGAACACGAAATTTTGCATTCAATAGATTGTTCTAATAGTAAATTAGTACAATGTCTGTTAAAAAAATGACTGTTTATATTTTAACACATTTTTATTATTTGGTAAATTAATTATATAGGTTCCTGGTTAGAAAGTTTGACTAATTAAATAGGAAGTGACAGATAAATCATTTGATAGAACCAATATTGATTTCATTCAATAAAAAAAGGTGTTAAAAAGTGTAGATAATAGGAGTTGACATAGTATACTTTTAATGCAACTATTGTAAAATAAAAAATAATTTGGTTAGTTTCCGAATATCATGTCATCATTTACTTGCTTAAAGTTTTGTTCTACTTTTAATATACCGAAAGAAGCACAAATCAAACTAGGAAATGACATTTAGAATTCGGATGGACAAGGATTGAAGAAGCTATTCGTTCAATCGTTAGGAATCTGCTTCTTTCTTTTTTTTTTTTTTTTGTTTCAATTGTTTCTTACTCGGTAAATTAATTACCTATTTTGGTTTCCACTTTAATTTGGCAGGCACCATAGCTCAATTGTTCGGAGCTGGTGAAAGTGAATGTTCTGTTATCATGTTATGGACATATGCTTTTGCGTCGGTTGCAGTTACCCTTTGGTCAACTTTCTTCATGTGGCTAGTGGCATGATTTTGGATTGGTGGAAAAAATATTTTTAAAATCGGTCATTTTTTATATTTAAAATTAATTATCTGATCAATTTTAAAAGAGTCGATTTTAAAAAGTAGGGCTTTTAATATCAGTCAACGACCGATGTTAAAAGTCTAACTTTTAAAATCGGCTCATGCATGATCAATGTTAAAAGTCTAACTTTTAATATCGGTTATGGAATGACCGATGTTAAAAATGGTTAACTTTTTTAAAATATTTGACTTGTTTTAGGAGGATCATTGAACAAAACTTGCAAATTAATAAAATATCAGACAATTCATATGTTTTAAATGGACCAAATTACATACAAATCACAAGAGTTGGTAAATGTCAACTATATATGTAATCAAAGTAACTTCGTCCAAATTTAAAGTGGTTTAAATCTAAGGTTGCTAAGCCAATAACAAAATTATTACCAGTCAAATCATTTATAGCGCTTTGTGCATCCTACAAAAATTCAAGAAAAATACAAGTCAAAATACCATCATAAAGCACTAGTACAGAAGGGGTCTTTAACGTCGGACATTTTAAGCCTTTTACGTAGAAAAAGTCTCCGACGTTAATACGGGAGACGTAAATTTACGTCGGCTATCATAGACGACATAAATTTACGTCGGATGTTTCCTCTGCCCGACGTAAAAAGGGGCTTTAAAAGGGGAAAAAAGATGCAATAATTTACGTCGGACTAGACCATGTCCAACGTAAATTTACGTCGGCCAGTGCTAGGTTCGACATAAATTTACATCGGACATGGTCTAGAGCGACGTAAATTATTGCGTTTTTTTTAAAACGTTTGTTGTTTTTTGATATATCCAAAATTAACCTGCATATATATATAGTCCAGAATATAAAACCTAAACCAGGAAGTCCAGAGTATAAAATCTAAACCAGGCAGTCCATAATAGAAATTCAAATTATATTTCAAAATTGAATGACAAAGAAAATAATATATAAATGTTAAAAAGCATAAATTATGACAATGTAAATCTTATTATCCTAAAAAAGCTATAAAACATATGTTTATCAATGCTATCAAACTAGAAACATAATATCTAACTAACTAAACTTAGAAATCTAACTATTATATACTTTGAAGAAAAAAAGTTGCCCATTGTTCTCTTATCTTGATGATCTCATCTTCGGGCAATGGAGATGGATCTTGAAAGACCTGAAACATTAATTTAAGTGTCATTAATATGCAATGTTAATTATCGTAAAGGTAAATATACTTAAATAAATTTTGATATGAATTACCTGCGCCCAAGAATCAGTAATACCCGCAGAAACTATGGCTCTCATCCAATACATGATGTAATAGCCACATTCAAACGAGTCTTGTTGCTTATTACACTAAAATGAGAAACAAATAACTATTATTTCCAAAGTCAATAAATTTAAATATTATTGCCTGTATTAATTAATTTGCTAACCTTAGGGTATATGAAGTGCAATGTCTTTGATGATCTGCTTCTTCCACTTAAAATATTAGCTCCAGACACGATTCTAATTAATTGAAAAAAAAATAGATGTTAGTCAATATATATAATTACAGTTTTAAAACATAATGAAAAAATTTAGTTACCCTTGCAATTGGCATTTAATTTCGTGGCTTGGTTTTCGATGTAGTGAACAAAACCACACCACGATGTATTCCTTAGGAATGATAACCGTTAACTGCCAATGGGACCTACATTGTATGACAAACAAATTAGTTATAAAATTACCATGATTAAAAAACTAACCCGTCAATGTATGGAGCCATGTATATATCTCTTCCTGAGTCACTCATCCATGTTTGCATATATTGTTGGATCTCGACCTGAGTGTTTCCTGATTTTTGCATATAGACCTAGCCATGCAAGTGAGAACACATACAAGGTTATCAACATGTCAAAAGTCAACCAAAAGTCAAAAGTTAACAAAAAAGTCAATATCTACTATATAAGCACCTATAACATGCAAAACAACACGAAATGAATTTTAAAAAATATTTCACTACCAGAACCTCATTTCATATAAGATTTCCTATTTTTGATAATTTTTTGCTAATTTTTAAAATCAAAAATAGAAAAAAAAAATTGAAAAGTGATCTAGATGAAGGAATTTGGAAAAAAGGACCCCCCAACACCCATAGTTACATTGTAACATGGGTGCCTTGATGTGTGAATTTTAGCTACCTTCTGGCAAAATTTGAGCCCAATCAAACCTAATTTTGCCATATTACCAAAATACCCCTATGTAAAAATCTATAAAACTCTATCAAGATGAAGGAATTTTGCAATTCTAAGCCCAAATAATTCTTAAAGGCAGTATGTTTGTTGAGAATAATGTTTTACCTTTGCCGACCAAGTTTCAGCCCAATCGGAGAAGAAATGAAAATTTTCGGGTTAGTTGCATAAAAGGCAATTTATCCACCTTAGGATTTCTACTAGTACTCTGCTTTTTGTTACACCTTTTACTTTGTTTAGCAGCAACAAGAACAACAAAAAGAAACAACAACGAAACCATAATGAAACAACGACAAAACAACAACAAAACAATGACGAAACAACACTTTGTTTTGAAACAGCAACACTCTATTTTGCTGCAACTTTTCTAAAAGCACCAACTCTATTTTGCAGTAAATGGAAATAGCAACAAAAATAAAAGACAAAATACCTACCTACAATGGTTAGTAACCAGAAACAGGAACAAAAATGGAGACAAAAACTTACATACTACAAACCTAAAATCTAAAATTATAAAAGCAATATACTCTATATTATTTAGAGATAGAAAAACCAAGACATTTATACAAACACTTGGTATACAATACTAAAACATTTAATCAAATAGTTAGTATACATGGTAAAAATCAAAACAAAGTTGCTTATGTCCTTGACAATGGTGCCATTTGATAGCGTTGCCGAGTCATTTTCAAACAAAACTAGGTTTCTAAAAAAAATTGTAATACAGAGAACTAACCTAGGTCATCTCTCAAGGACACAAGTTCATTCTATTTTTGATTTTTATCATGCAACTGAGTTAGGTTTGGGGGGATTTTTTTTTTGTTTCAAACAGATTGTAAACAACAATATAGAAAACAGAAGATTGAATCTCAACATAGAATTTCAATATTATCAAATACCAGTTCAAGGTTTCATTTCCTATGGTGTAATTTTCATTGTTCACAAAAAATACGAATTCTTAATCAACATAATTCAATTCATAATTAATCATTACAAAAATCTAAATCTAGATTATGAATTCCATTAAAACAAGAACTACATTCGCAATCTCAAGATCCTAACAAAATTCAAGAACCGTAATCAAATTGAATTAGGTTGATTTAGGTTATTTCAAATTTGAAATTACATCTTCACATTTCTATTTAAGATTCAAAACGAAAGTTAAATATCATGAAAAACGAAATTATCCTAAACAGAAAAGAGAAGAGGAAATTAAAGAGAATTCGTTCGATAAAAATTAGGAACTCAAATTTATCGTAGTTCTTGAAACCCTAAACCGATTAACGGATTAGTTTTGCCTCATAATCATGTTGCTTCAGCCAATTATAGTGGAGAAAAGACAAATTTCGTGAGAGAGAGAGAGAGAGAATGAAAGAAACTTGTAACACAAGTAAACTTGAATATAAAAAAATAATGAGGGAAAAAAATTAAATGCAAAGAGTCATTACATGTATTTAAAGACAAAGTAATGGGCTTAAACTAAAGGCCCAGCCCACTAATTATACTCCTAAAGCTTAATTAATTACAAGTAAACAGTTTCAAGACAAACTGAAATTTTCAGTTGTAGGGCTGCGAGCTTGAGGTGCAATTTTGGGCCTGAAAACGTCCGAACTGGGTTTTTCTCCTAACATAGAAGTTGTAGATCTCCCTCTTATCTTTCGAGGAACACCAAGTTTGCTCAATTCCGAGTTGTATGAATCCAGATATGGCCTGCACAAGAAACTGTGTCAAAACAGGAAATTATTACAAGAATTTAGTAAAATTTATAACTAAATCCTAATTAAATGACTCAATAACACAAATCTAAACTAATACATGAATATATGAAACTTAAAAAAATCAAATAAGTCAAAAAGATTAAAAAAAAATGTATTAAAATATGGCTATCACTCATCAAAAAACTTAACCAATCGGTCAAGCAAGCCCATGAACCAATCTCAAGTGAAGCTATAAAGTATCTACAAATATTTTACTCTTGACCGCATCTAATTCCACACTAATCAACATCTTGGCATGAAACAATTTTAAGGGGAACGATGGATCTTGGAATCCAATATAAGGTTCCACCTTGGGGACCAAGAAGTTAGTTGGGATCAACTCGACACGGATTTTTGCCGAGAATGGATGGAAATCATTGGTGGTTCTCTCGCAATTTCTCCTTCTACCCTCCATAGGTTGTGTATCTGCTCATGCAATGCAACACAACCTGCTTTTGCTCATGTTGTTGTCTTTGCAACTATTGGGCAGCCTCGGCATCATCAACCCTTCTCCTCTTATCTGAATTGTCCTGTCACATTTATGTTAACATTGCTCAAATTTTCTCCTAGGTGGGAGCCTCCTCATCATCGTAATTAGGGATGGGAGGGGCATTGACATTGTGTCATGGTCTATGAAACACCCTAATCATACACCTATCGGATACGACATGTATCTAATATAGCAATACGATTATTTTAAAATATATAAAGATATGATATATGAAAGATATGTATCATCGTATGTATCAATATTCATGTAATATAAAAATAAGTACTTGTAATTTTGATCAAAATTCATAAACATTAAATATATAATTGTTATTTTATAAATTCAAATTAAAAACATATTTATTGTACATTATTAAAAACAAATAAATTATAAATCATGTATTCATAAATTACTTTTTATGATTTACAAATAGAAATAATATTACCAATTTCATTTCTTTCTTAAAATTATCTATATAGAAGATAATTTTCATTTACAACTCATCAACAACCAATATTTCTATTTTTCTACATAAAACATGTTTATATATCTTATTTAGTTGTAATGAGTATTTCATAATTTTTTTAAAAAATTTAAATACTTTATCGATACATATCATTAATAAATATCAATGAAATATCTGAGAGTATCGGAATTGAATAAAATTTTCATAATATTTTTAAAAGTTAAAATATTTCATTGATACTTAATAGTGAAATATCCAAGAATATCATATCAAATACATATACATAAAGTAAATTGAAGTATCAGTGTTTCATAGGCCATAGTTGAACCATTTTAATTGGAAAAGTAAATCTTTG